AAAGAAGAATGAAGCAAAATAAGCGTTCGGAATTTAACGTTTTATGTAAAACTGGCTATTTTTACATAAATGAAGAAGGAAATTAAAGATAAAGGGTTATCCTATATATCCGTATTGTAACACATTTTTAGACAACTTCTTTATTTTTAAGATTTTGATGGTCAAACAACAACAAACTATTCCTTATGTTTGGACTAAATTTTATGGAAAATAAAGACATAATTTAAGATTCCGTTACTATACGAAAATAGATTGAAGTTTTGTGATTACAGATATATATATATATATATATATAATTTATATGGTTTTGTAACAAATTCCTCGCTATTTTATGGCAAATGTTGAAGTTCGCAAACCTAAATCACAGCACGTGTGTTTGGAATTTTGTGTGTGGCTTAACACGACAGGCTAAGCCTTAGGCAAATTTCTGAAATATAATATATATTTCCTTCGGCCACACACCCGCTTTAGTGATAGTGACCGACCCCTAATAGTGACCCGAAAGTACAGCGTAATAGACTCTTAGATTTGCAAGGCATTTATTCGAGTTTTATTTTGTTTCCGAGAATTATTTTTCGGAAATACTCCTTTTGATAGGAAAATTTTGATAGTTTTGTGTTTCTCACTCCATCTTGTTTCACAGAGTCTAGACATATTGGGTATCAAATTCCTATACTCAAAACTAATCCCCGAAAAGAAAATTGGCTACATTTTTTTTGAATCTTCATAGGGCGGCAGCTGCACCTAAATGCCTCATCCCTTAACGACGTCCTTGTTTGTAGTTTAAAAATAATAATTTACCAGAAAAAAAACTAGTGAACAACAATATATTTTTGTAGACAGTTTTTTTTCTTGTTGAAAATCTCTATAAATTAAATACAATATATTTTATATCATTATAACTATGCTTGAATATTTCAATGATGGTAGTATTTTCACAGCCGTTGCTTCTTATCAAAACAATTTCAATTCAACCAAATATCTCTTTGACTTTTAAAATTGTAATTTTCGATTCTATTGAAGCGGCAAATGAAAACGGCTCTGTCGAAGATTAGAAAGAAGCAGTAAGAAATGAAGGAAAGTTAACTATGCATTACAGAATTGCACCTGCCAAACTATACACCTCGATTTACTAAGTTATCACAAAGACTAACTCTACATTATTCGAAGCAGTGGATTTTTTTTTCGAAACAGAACTTTTTTAACTGAGAATAATTTAATCATTATATTAAAGAGCTTATTTTCTGGTAATTTGCAGAGTCAAAATAGAGTTTAGAAAAAAGTTAGCCTGACTATAGTGTGACCAACGGATCTGTAGCTACGGGGTATCGGCAGGGGAACGCAGTTGTAAACAAAAGACGCCCAATTTCATTCATAAAATAGGCATGGGCGTACGGTGTTATATGAAACTAATGTGTATCATAAATATAATACTCAGATTAATATTTTTTTTCAAAAAACTTTATGCTGTTTGAATCGTTACTGTTGAGTTAGCAGATAAACACTAAAAGCTTTTATTAAAGCTCCCTTAAATAGTTTGAATCATTTTATTATTGTGTTGTTAATATAATAGAAGAAATAATTACAGCTGGGGGTCGGAACCTTTAATGTTACACAGCAAAATAAAACACTAAATCAGTACAATACACCAAAACACTTTTAATTTTACACTGGGCGCACGTTTCGCTAACTATGTCTGTCATCAGCAGATGATCAAGACTGAGTCTTGAGGTATATTTATTTATATATCTGTACTAACTATATTTTTTTCTATAATACATAATTTTAGATTAATTTAGATATAACTATTTCCAGCAAAAAAAAATCTTGAAAATAGTTAACTTTGGAAGCGCAAACAAAACATAATTTTACTCACCAGTAGATCCAATATTGCCTATTAAACCAGATATGGTATCGCTCCGCCAGCAGTTTTTAAAGGTTAGGTCATTGTCTACCCATATGTTTCATCCAAATAGATAATACTTGGCTATATTTTCGAATTTGGCGTATATATTTATATCTCCCTCTGCAATATAATGGGGCGCTCCATTAATATTTATCTGTTATTTTGACATTTACGCCAAAAAAATTCATTTGATTTTAATAACCCCCTAAGCGTTTCCCTGCAAAAGGATAATTCCATCCTTCCTGCAATTTTTGCAAAAGCTTTCTAATTGTGGGGACGAGTTTGAATTCGAGATAAAATCTATTTATCAGATTCCTGACCACTTCGAAAAAATGGTCGTTTCTTTCCAGAGCTGGATATCGTTTTATCGGGGTTAGTTTTCAGCCTTTTTTTTAACTTCTGTGCGAATTTTTTTTATAGCCGATACGCTAACTCCGGTATAAAGAAATATCCGCTCAAGTTTACGTTTAAGCGGCAACTTAAGCGAACTCTCTGTAGCTTCTTCATCGCAAACCCTATTATGAACACAAGGAAATAAACCAAATGAGATTTCATCCACGTTATTATTAACTTACCTATATAAATTAGCTATTATTTCTCTTGCCTGACTATGTAGCGTCTTATAACTTTAACAAATTTATTCATTTTAAAACACAAATATACGATCAAACTTGATATTAATAATTAAAAACTACGAACGAAAAACATTATAACTAGATAACAAAACAATAAAACACAACTTAACTATCAAATATATGAAAAATATAGGAATAAAGTTTAGGATAACCGGTATAAAATAATGAAATAAAGTAATAATGATCAAAAAAATGACACCGCCACTGGATATTTAAATAGTATTCAATATTCCTACTCCTTTCAGAAGAGACCGTGAAGTTGGGGATAAAGCAAGCGAATAGGAAAGGCGTAAAAGCCATGGCAACCGCGTGGTAACAAATCCTGTGACGTACTCTCGCCAATCATGTACGATGAATAGGCGGCCATGCGCGGCGATGCCGGTTTGCCAATGATATCGTTGAAAAATCTTCAACTTTCATAATAAGCAGATTATACAGAATGAAAGAAATAAGTTATTAAATAAAACATATCGAACAATATGAACTACGTTAAAATTCCTTAGTAATATACGTCAGAATATATGCTAAACACATTATATATAATAAAAGTATATTAAAGTTATAGTTCATGTCTGGCAATTTTGCAATTTTATAGATAAACGTGGCAATATCGATTTTTTTTTTCACGCATTCCTTCGGTAGCTTCAGATCCGCTGGTCAAACAGTACTTACTCAAGAACGGTAAACTAATAGGATTGCTCATCCTCATAAGACGTACGTTCGCCTCTTCCCGCGCTTCAGCTGACAGTTGTGACGTCATTGTAGTCCTTGTCAAAGCCTTCGTGGCCTTGTCATGATAGTGTGTATTATTAGTTGCCTATGGTAAACTTATAAAAATAACAGCTGAGAAATTTTGAGTTAATTATTTTGTCAATTTTAAACGTGAAAAAGGTTTTTTTAAAGTTTTTAGAGCTATAGAGTGTATAAATACGTTCATTTTGTGTTGTGGATTGTGACAAAGTGCATACTAAGTGCCCCACGATTTTGTTTATTAATTATTTTAAAGCAAAATATGGAAATACTCTAAAAAGAATGTTTGCAAAAGGTGATGCTGGGAACTGCTGTTCTTAAAAATGCATTATCCGAGTATTTAATACGATTTATACAGTTAATTTTCTATACTGCATACATATAAGGTGTTTAAATAAATAAACTAAATAATGAACGTTTTGCATTCGGCAACCAATAATGCATGTGTGTGTATTATTGGTTACCGGATAAGGACTAATAACCATGACAAGGACTACAATGACGTCACAAAGCGAGTAGTTTTCGCATGCACCTGGCGGACACTTTTGGCTGAATGAGCAGTCCTATTAGGTTAACTGTTCTTGGTACTTACTTACTTACTTACATCTTTAAAAGTTAGCCTAAAACATTACCACTGATGATCGGTGTTGTGATTTTTTGTCAATTTATACATCTTATAAAGCATATCTTATTGACGCATACAGTCTGCTGTATGCGTCTGCGTATATGTAGCAGATGCAGTCCATTTGCTATAAAAAATATTAAAGATTTTTGTTGAAAGAGTAGTAAGTAGTACACAACAAACACAATAATTGAGAGAGATGTAAAAACTTATATATTAATAAGTCGATTAGATGAACAAGAAGTACTTGTTGTATTGTTGTAATATTGATGATTTTATAAATGTGGTGATATAGAGTTTTATTTTGCTGTTGTAACACCAAAGGTTCCAACCCCCCATAATTTATTTATTGTGGTTAAATTGTCAATTTTTCAGGTTCTTAGGTTAAGTTAACAAACACCTACACAAACAAGCACAATCCTGACAGTTGCTACACTAATTTGTAGAGCATTTTTCTTTGAAGTAGAGATTACCAAGCAAGTATCTAAAAGACTCTGGGTCCGTGCTCTCAAAAATCACAAAATACCTATAATATTTATTTTTAAATATTTCCGTATCTAATTTTTCTTCAGATACAAATTGTTATGGAATCATTTTTGTTCATTTAGCTCTCCATTATTTTCTCCGGCTTATAACTGGTAAGTATTTGGTAATATTCTAACGGATTACTCTGCTTTCTTATCGATAGTTATTAGAGCGGGATGATCTACAAATATTGACATTTTTGTATTATAAAATACTGGTGTATAAATTATAGTATATAATAAGCTATGTGCTATTCTTCTCGGTCTTGAGGGTGAATTTTAAAGTTTGTAGAACTGAGCCACAGTAGATCCTTGCGGCCGCAGTGGGATTAAGTAGTCCTTTTAGTAAATACAAATTCAACGTAAACGAAAAGATTGTGATGAAAGAATAATTAATTAATATTATTGCAATTTGCTTCATTTATTTTTTTTATTTATCTAATCTTTATTTCTTTTATCTCTATCTTTATCATTCATAATTACTTTATGAATTCCTACAAATATGTCGAATTATTTGAACCAATTTCAAATTTTTACCGGTTTTTTTTTCTTTTTTTTTCCAGTGATGGCCCACTTCGCACATCTACCCCCGCTTCCGACCACCTCCACCACCACCCATCGCCAATCTAAAGTATCCTGAACTGCGTCGACTCGCCGACAGGTGTCGCCATGGACCACAGCGTCAAAGCGATGACGTCACCGCGCGTGCTGGCGCGCGCTCTGAACCCGCATCGCTTCGAGAACGACGAGCTGGAGCAGTTGTACCAACGGTACATCTGCAAGCTGCAACATTCGAGCGTGGCGGCCGTGGTGGCGCTGTTCGTACTGTTGACATTTCTATTGGCCAATTTGGGTTTGGTAAGTACTTGTTTTTAAATTGATATTAAAAATATTTCCACAGTATCAGGTATGGAACAATTTAAGTAACTGTGTATCATAACCATAAGTGAGTAAAGTAAAATATTTAAAGTTAACGTCTCCATTTTCGTTATCCACGGACAATCGGTTTCCATTATATGTGGTTTCTAAGCAAGTACAAAATTTAGTGTAATTATCCAATGTTGGATGCGGTAAAGATATCCAATCTCAATCGACCTAAAACCGATATTTTCAGAGGGCCACTTCATCTAGCGTATTTAATATGCGGAAACAAGGACCAGGAGTATGATAAGTATAATTGAAGGGTACAGGAATAAAATAACGAAGGTCCATTTTTGTCGAAATTGAGATTAACAGCCCAATCTGTAAATAATTCTATTTGGAGATGATTTTAGATTGTATGGGAGAGGGAAATTCTTGAGTTATAACTCATCATACAGTCTCAGGGTTTTGACAATCAATCAAACCAAATCAAACCAAACCAAAATCCAGTATCTGGCACGGTTTAATAAAGGGTAGGTTGGCGTCTCGGCGCACTCAGTGATGAGGTGTTCTGTTTCTTTTCTCATTTTCACTAGAGAATCTCCATTGTTGTTTCTAAGCTTTAATCTACTGAGGTGTTCATTGAGGTGTCCTGTTAAAAACTCCGTGACAATCCGAAGATTGTTCTTACTTAAATCAAGGAAAACTCGGTCGTAAGTCTTGAGAAACTAAAAGAAAAATAAGTGTCTTAAACCGTTAGATGATGACCAGGTTACGGATGGAGTCTTCCAGGTTCCGCTTTAAGTTGCTTTACACTTGGAAAGCAGAACGGTTCTGGTTCAGTTAGTGGAGTGTTCGCTCCTTTTCTAGCTAGATCGTTTGCTTTTTCATTACCCTCTCTATATCCCTTGGTAGGCTACCATCCAGAGTAGGAGGGCTTTATTTTCTTTGCCTAATTAACAATTTAAGTAAATGTACTATAAGTCAGTAGAAATCAGTGAAGTAAAATATTTAATGTTATGTCTCCATTTTCTTTACCTAGTCTGGACATTTGGTTTACACAGATTCCAAAAAAAAACAAATTTAATTGTGTAATGATCCAACGATGGATGAAGTGCAGATATCCTATCTCACTCGACCTATAACCGGCGTCAATGGGTAGTGCATCTTATAAATTTACACTCTTGTTTTCGAACAACGATCCGATGATATTTTCGTAGTACCACCTTTTCTAGCATCTTCAATATGGAGCAATTAGGGCCTACAATATGGACATAGTTTCACTAATATAAGTATAATTGAATTATTAACAACAGCGAATGGAGTAGTCTGTAAATAGTCCGTCTCGTTAGGATAACATAACAGTATATGAAGGTCGAACTTCTAATGCCAAATTTTATTTCCATACAATATTCATTATGAATTGGAAACTCTTTGCTCAAACTTGCAGATTTTTCTATAGAGGTGATAACTTGGGCATACATACATTACATGATGTTGGATTAGCTGAACCAAACATACTTTATAGTTTTAATCATCTGCTGATGATGCTAATATAGTTACGGAAACACACGTCCAGTGCAAAATAAAAGTGTTTTGGTGTATTGTGGTGAATCAGTGTTTTTATTTTGCCGTTGTAACACCAAAGGTTCCAACTCCCAACTGTAACAAACATACTTTGCCACCTTTGAGGCCAATATTTCATGCTTTGTGTTCTTGTTCAAGAGCCCATTTTTTCCATGAAAAGGTGCTCTTGTAACATGATTCAAGTCTAGAACAACGATTTTCGAGACAAGTGACCAAGTTTCGATAAGTAACGGATACATATTTTCGAAGAATATAAACTAAATTGTTATTTTTGGCTTGCTTACAGGATATTAAACATAAATTGGGAAAAATTTAGTATATTAATAATATAATAGTTATTAATTAATAACGAGACTTATCATTATCTGAACTCCTGTTAAAGTGAACAAGACCAAGAATTGTTTCAAATTATAAAAAAGGGAGAAATAAAAAAAAGTGAAGGATTGCTTACTGAAAAATTTTGTTTTAAATTTTTATCCAGATAGATTGGGAACTGTTTACATATTTGCGTTTATACTGTCTTACAAAGAAGATACTTATCTCTCTGGATATAGAGAAAGGAACCCTCTATTTGCCAACTGGCACTTAAATTCTTAAAAATCCATTCCAATCCTTTTAGAGATTTCCACTGTTTATCCAGCGTTTCGTTTCAATTTGACGAATAGTATATCATTATTATGTGTTCCTCTATATGAGATAATAAATAATAAACATACTTGAAAACAATGTTTTGTCGAAATCAAAGTTCTTGTCGAAGACACGTTCACGTTCACAAGATATACGGTTAATATTTTTTTACTTTCGAATATCGTAGAGAAATAACAGTTTCTTCTCTTTACAGAAGCACAAAATTAAACTGAACATATTAGGATCTTTATTACAGCTGGAAAAACATTTTCATGCACTTTCATAATCGGCGTAATTTTTCAAATTACGCCATTTTTGCCTACTAATTTAGCGAGGTATGCTCGAGTTCGGTTAATTAACTTTGTTTTATTGTCTAAAATGTAGTTGGAAATGTGCCAGAAAACCGTCTTTACAAGCGTATTGTTTAAATGAGATTAGGTAGAGGTATATTTCATTTTTAGCTTTTATTATCAACCGTGTGTCGTATAGATTGAGAAATAGAAAAAAACAGCTGCATTTTGTTTATTTTTCAGATAACATCGATATAATATTTTCTTTTATTCAAAAATGTCTGATTTTTTCAATTTTTCACATATTAATCAAGACAGCACTTTACGTTAAATTTGAAATACTATTTAGAGAAACTTAACTTCATATTCAAGGGATCAAATAATATATATATATATATATATATATATATATATATATATATATATATATATATATATATATATATATATACAGAACATTAATTATTTTCAAAGTTCAAGATGTAATGAACGTGTCTCCTTTTTGCTGTTAAAGAGAAAATCAGCACAACAGGCATTCCAGATGGTCACCCGTCCATTCACTCGCATCCCCCAACTTTGCTTAACTTTACGTTTAATGTTTACGTTTTAATGTGATCTACTAGGAGAAAATGAATTTTGAAATAAATTAGGGTTGGAACTTTACCATCTTTCGAAAATTGACAGCCCACGTCATGCCCCCTTAAGCTTCATTCACAACCTCTTCTTCTTCTTTCAGTGCCTATCCTCTATGGATGTTGGCAATCATGTTGGTCCACATAATCCTGTTGACAGCCGCCCTGAATTGCACGGTCGTCATTCCCGTCTACTGTCTAATATTTTTCAGCCATGATGTTCGTCGGCTTCCCTGACCTCTTCTACTATCTATTTTGCCCTGCAGTATAAGTTGGTATTTATCATTACGCATCACATGCCCAAGGTATGCCATTTTTCTCACTTTCACACTATGTACAATTTCTAGTTCCTTTTGCATTCTCTAGATCACGGTGTTGTTTGTGACATGTAAGTGTATGAGATCCTGAACATGCGGCAATAGCACCACATTTCAAATTTCATTCAGAACCTCGCAGTTAGTAAAATAAACTAGTGGTTTCAATTACACTTCATACTTTTTAGTTTACGATCATTCGCAATGTTTAAAAAACACAATTAAAATTAATAGAATATTCTAGCAACAGCTTGCGTTAGTCAGTTGTATCCATAGAGAAAGTCTAATATTTAGCTTATAAAACAATCAACTTTTGATTTCCAATCACAATTTCTCTTGACAGATGATAATAAAAGGCCAAAATGACATTTCTCTGAAATTTTGAAGTTTAATTAATGGAAAAATTAAAAGTTTGGTAACTTTTGGTAACTTTCCGCTAATTGAAAATTTCTACCACTAATTTTAACATTGTGTTTTGCTTACATTGAATTTAAAGGAACAAACTTCTACTCTAATTAGTGGACTAAATTACTGATTTCAATTAGCGTAGAAGTTTGTTCCTTTAATTTCAATGTAAGCATTCAGAACGTCAAAATTAGTAGTAGACATTTTCAATTAGCAGAAAAGGGTATCAAAGGGTTTTAACTTTTCTACTAATTATACTTCAAAATTTGCCAGACATGTCATTTTGGCCTTTGATTATATTCCGTCAAGAGATGTTGTCTTTATAAATCACAAGCTGATTGTGTTATAAGGTAAATATTAGGCTTTCTGTATTCTGTTAATTTTAATTGTGTTTTTAAACATGGTGAATGATCGTAAACTAAAAAGTATAAAATGTAATTGAAACCACAATTTATTCCACTAATTGTGAGATTCTCAATGAAGCTATAGCCAATTTGTGTGTAGTAATTGCAGTAGTAATTAATGTCCAGTACAAATCATAATATATTAAAAAGATAACATGCTCTTACTATTCTTATAATGCTTAAAAAACTAATAAGCATAAACCATAAGGATTAAGGTTCATAAATAAATGTCTGTTCATTATACTGGGTGCGTCTCAAAAGTGGCTCACCCCTATAACTTTTTTATTTTTTTAGATAAAAAAGCGAGATTTGGTATGTTAGTATATGACATAAATTTGGATTGATTGACTTATTCAATGATTTTTGGCCACTTCCTGTTTCACCTTTACAATTGGCACCTTCGGTATTTTTTACTTTATTCGATAGAAAATAACCCTCTGAATAGAATGACATACCATATGCCAACTTTGACATTTTCGCACATGGTTTATTTCAAATTATAACTTGCGGTTTGTAACAAAATTTTTTGACTCGAAATACCAAGTATACGGTATCAAATTATTCGTAAAAAATGATTTTTCTAAGTATGCTAATGAACCACATGAAAAAAAAAAAGAAATATGATTAAAAATACGATTTGGGCAACTTTTAACCTAACAGGACAAGACACGAAAAACTTTAGACGATCAAATCTATTTTTTCAAGGCCCGTCAGTGGCGGATCTAGGCGTGAGCAAGG